TGCTTCGCCCGCTCGAACAACCATAGGAAGGATTACAACTAACATCAAAACTAGAAACAATCAGAACTTCCAGAAAAGTCAAACTGTATGGAAGTCTGACAACCAAGGATTTAAAACAGAAATATTCATCCAGATGGGTAGGAGGGGTGGAGAGCAGAGAGGACACAGTGTGGAAGCAGTGAGGCAGTGTGGTGGCAGGGCAGCTGGCGTTAACAGGTGGTCCCACATTCACAAGTAGTGGACAAAAACTGGGAAGGACACCTGGAGAACAAGTGATCCCAGCCCCAGACCAGAGTGCGCAGCCCAGGGTTCTAGCACTGAGAAAATAAAGCCTATAACTTCTGGCTGTAAAAAGCAGTGGAGATTGGGGCAGCGGAATAAACTGCTAGTCTCTCAGGAGAGCATGTTTAAAGGACCCGCACAGTCCTAGAACATACACAAACCCATCTACTCTGGGATTCAGTACCAGGGAAGCAGCTTGAAGGGTGCCAGTTACATACATACAGGAATGGGGAAAGTGACTGGAAACTGGACGAGAGCTGAGCAAAAGGCATTGATCCCTAAGCAGCTACAGAAAAGGAGACAGTTACCTACAGGAGTTCCCATCAGACTCAGCTGAGTTCTCAAAAGAAACTTTGCAGGCAAGAAGGGGCTGGAAAGAGGTATTCCAAGTCATGAAATCCAAAGACCTACATCCAAGATTACTCTATCCAGCTAAGCTTTCATTTAGAATGGAAGGGCAGATAAAGTGCTTCTCAGATAAGGTCAAATTCAAGGAGTTCATCATCACCAAGCCCTTATTATATGAAATGTTAAAGGAACTTATTTAGTAAAAAGAAGAAAATCAAAACTATGAACAGTAAAATGACAACAAACTCATAACTGTCAACAACCAAATCTAAAAAAAAACCAAAAACAAACTAAGTGAACAACTACAACAGTATCAGAATCACAGAAATGGAGATCATATAGAGGGTTATCAGCGAGGAGGGGGAACAGGGAGAATGGAGGAAAAGTTACAGGGATTAAGAAGCATAATAGGTAGGTACAAAGAAGACAGAGTATGTTAAGCATAATATTGGAAATGGAGAAGCCAAAGAACTTACACGAGACCCATGGACATGAACAATGGTGGAAGGATTGCCTGAAGGAGTGGAGGGTGCTGTATGGAAGGTGTAAAGGGGAAAAAATCACGACAACTATAATAGCATAATCCATAAAATATAATTAAAAAAACAAAAAGGTGTGATACATATATACTATGGAATACTACTCAGCCATAAGAAAGGATGAAATAGTGCCATTTGTAACAAACATGGATGGACCTTGAGGATACTATGTTAATTGAAATGAGTCAGAAAAAGCTAAGAATCAGAGACATTGAAATTAAGAACAAACTGACAGTAACCAGAGGGAAGGTGGGAGAGGATAAAGGGGGGGAAAGGGAAAGGGTTTTCATGAATAACTATAAAGGACACATGGACAAAACCAAAGGGGGGTGGAATCAGGGGAGGAAGGTGAGGATAGCTGGGGTTGGCGGGGAGTGGTGGGGAGCAAATGGAGACAACTGTGCTTGAACAACAATAAAAAGATAAAAATAAAAATAAAAAAAGCTAAGAACCACACGACTTATACTTGTATGCAGGATAAAACTGGAACTGATAGACACAGACAACAGCACCTGGTTACCAGAGCAAAATGGGTAGGGCATAGTAAAGGGTAAAGGGAACTAAATGCATAGTGACAGAGATGATTTGACTTTGGGTGGTAGGCACACAATGCAATATAGATTATATGTCATAGAAATGTACACTTGAAGCCCATATAACACTATTAACCAATGTCACCTCAACATATTTAATAAAATAAAATAAAAATATGGACATTGGCCCTGGCAAGTTATGCCTCAGTTGGTTGGAGCATCATGCAGTAACCACAAGTTTGTGGGTTCAATTCTTGGTTAGGGCACATACCCAGGTTGTAGATTTGGACCCAGGTCCAGGCACGTATGTTTCCCAGTCCAGGCATGTTCAGGGGGCAACCAGTCAATGCTTCTCACTTCTCTTGCTCTTTCTTCCTCTGTCTCTCAAAAAAAAAGCAATTAAAGATAAAAAGCAGGTAAGGATAAAATATATATATATATATATATATATATATATATATATATATATATATATATATATATATGGAGATTGTTGGAGTAATTAAAAAACAAGACCCAGCAATATGTTTCTACAAGAAAACCTATTTAATATAAAGACACAAACACTAAAAGGAAAGGGATGAAGAAAGATATACCATGCTAAAACAACTTAAAATTTGGGGTGACTATAACTTCAGACAAGCAGATTTCAGAGCAAGGAAATTATCAAGGATAAAGAGCATTATATAAAGACTAAGGGAATGAATCTCCAGGAAGACGTTCTACTTCATTCAGCAACACCCTCCCCCGCATCAATCACCACACTGTTGTCCATGTCCATTGAGTCCTTTTTCCTCAATCCCTCCACCTCTAACCTCCCTCTGCCACTAGCTGTCATCCTGCTCTCCATCTATGAGTCTGTCCCCATTTTCCTTGTTAGTTCAGTTTGTTCATTAGATGCCACATACAAGTAAGACCCTACGGTATTTGTCTTTTTCTGGCTGGCTTATTTCACTTAGCATCATGTTCTCTAGGTCCATCCATACTGTAGTAAAGGATAAATTTTTTTTATGGTGGGAATGCAGACTGGTGCAGCCACTGTGGAAAACAGTATGGAGAAACCTCAAAAAATTAAAAATGGATCTGCCTTTCGATCCAGCAACACCACTTCTGGGAATTTATCCAAAGGAACCCAAAACACTAATTCAAAAGAACATAAGCTCCCCTATGTTCACTGCACCTCTATTTACAATCTCTGAGATATGGAAGCAGCCCAAGTGTATCAATAGATGAATGTATAAAACAACTAGGGGATATTTACACAATGAAATACTCGGCCATAAAAAAAATAGATGTTTTATTTTTTTACAAATTGATAGCAAGGCCCTGTAATAGGACAGGCCATTGTTGCCAGAGCTACTTTGCCTGAATAAAGCATGACTGACTCTTGTTTTACTTATGAGCCTCTGTCCTCAGAACTAGAAAATTACTTACTGGAAGCGCCCTGAAGGTGTAGAGGCTCCAGGAACTTACCAAACAGGACATGCCAGACCTGCACCCAAAGATAACATCAAAACAAGCTGCAGCTTACGCAAGACCAACTGAAGCATTCTGCTCTACAACCACCCCAATAGCGTAATAAAAGGTCAAAGCCCCCACCCCTCAGGGCTGGCGTATCTCTCCACACCGAGCCCCTCATCCTTCATGGAGAGTCAATAAAAAACTTTACTCTCTGCATGTTCTTCTCTTTGTGGATTCTTTCACAGCCCTAGTCTCCAACCACCCCAACACCCTCCGCCAGCAAAAAAAATTAAAACTCACTTCATTGTGGTAATCTGGAACCTAAGATTGCAATGTCTCCAAGGTACTCCTATATATCACTTGTTCATTTTACCTCAATACTTAAAGGACTTTCTCTCTAAAATTACATAGTTTGATTTGAATGTATAATGGATTTTGACACTGGCTCATATTTTCAGATACATAGTTGTATGTATGTCCTGGTTGGGAGCTTCCTGGGTGTAACCTGAAACTGGCTCCCTTATGTGGAGGGCAAGAAGAAACTGAAGAAAATGGCACACCAATCCAGATTGGTAGATGGCAGTTTTAATTAGCAAGGGAACTTAACAGGTTTGTCTTCGGTGTCTACAAAATGAACAATTTTCTGCAACCAACTGCCAAATCTTAAAAATTTATACAGAGATCTTCAATACACTGTCACATATACTGCCCAAGTAGTCTCCACATTTCTATCTCACATTTCTATCTCAAAAGCTGTATCCTTGGTACAGCTTCTGGGAATGAGGAAGGCAAGCAAAACATTTTCCAAGTACACTGAGGGGGTGGAAAGCCTCTAATTTCCCAGATCCAGCTAGAGGATCAACTGGCAGTCAGTTCTTGGTGACAATCCCAATACTCCACCCCTTGTGACTGGCCCTTACAATCTCATATGCACTGATCTTCTGAATAGTGCCCTGGGTAATCAGCAAGGGGTTTCACTAGCACGGAGATGGCTCATTTGGCAGCAGCTCTCTGGAGGCAGATACCACAGCATCACACAGGCACATACAAGAGAACAGAGGTTAAGACAATAACTCCCAAAATCAATGACAACTTTTCCACCAAGAACCCCAGGATCCAAACCATTGATTAACTATGTCCCTTAGGCTAAGGGATGGATTACTCAGGACATTCTCTGGTGTCCTCATGCAATTAAATAAAGATAATACATTAATATTCTCATCAAGTATAAACATAAAACATTCAGTAATGTTGAAGGCCATTCTATTATGGAATATAGCTTTTCTCATTAGATACATTGCAGTGTTCAGTAAGGACAAGCTTTGCTGGCTATCATAAGGCTTGCTGGGTGAATTTAATAAGGGTTTCTATGTGTGCTATAATGTCCTCCAGGCCAATGGAGGGACCAAAGATAGCAGCCAAGTGATTCTACCTACAGGAAACAGAATATGCCCACCAAGGGAATATTCCTTGAGAGGGAATATTCCAGCAGCTTTAGGAACTTGACCTAGTTGTATGTACATACATGTTGGCCAGAAAGAGGCAGAACTGTCAGGTGTGAGATGGACTGGGGGTGGGATATGCCAGACCAAAACCTCTATCTTCTCCCCTCTTTCAATAATGCATGTTCCATTCTAGGTATAGTGCATTTCAAGAGGTCCAACTTGTCCCAGGACAACAGGATCCCATGGAGACTGAATACTTTCTTCTTACCCAAGGGTATAAAGTAACTCACCCATCATGGTAGGATGTACCATTGCAAATTTTAGTAGATAACTCCTTTCCCCAGGCATAATGAGGCTTTGAGTTCTCAGCAGCATAACACATTGAACCATGGTAAGAGTGAGGACAATGGCTTTTTTATTGAGACTTCCATACCTTTACAGTCCTGCGTGCTTGGTAAGGATCCCAAGTCTAGCATATAGGGTAGCAGGCCCTCCGACTCATCATTCAAATATATTAAAACTTGGAACAATACTTCAGCCTACCCAGCCAAGGTGGTTTACCTGTTAGTAACTTAATCTGCTGCTTTAATATTTCATTCTCCCTGTCTACCAACCCCTGCTGCTTAGGGGTTATAGGGAAAATGGAACCTCCCATTCAATGCGATGTTCTCTTGCCCACTACTGTTCATCAGGGCCTTTGAAATGTGATCTCTGTTCATTACCTATTTAACTAGGGTATCTATACATGGTACTCAGCTTCTCTAACCCACTAATGATGGCAGCCTAGTTTGCACGGCAACAAGAGAAAGTTTGGGTTAGGTCAGACTCAGCATCCACACAAACCAAGGCATATCTATAAGAACACTCACTTGGAAGGAGTGGGCCAATATAATCAATTGGCCTATACTTCACCAGTTGAGAACTCTGGTGGATGGCCCCAGACTCCTTTGGCTGTTGCCTTGGGCGTTGTTTAGAGCACACATGACATGCTATTACTCCATTAACCAAGTTACTGTATTTCAAGGGAAATCTAGCATTCTTGACAGTATGCCATCCCACCTGAATAGTGCAAAGGCTACTCTTTCTATGCACCCAATCTGCTGCACATACTAAAGGGTCAATTGCTAGGATATCAGCTTCTTGATTGCCAGTAGGTGTCAATACTTTACTGATGCAGAAGATAGTGAGGACTGCCTTACACTCTTGGTGGCAAACGCAAATGTCCCTCCTCATATCCTGACCCCAGAAGGGATCACTCATGAATTATCCACCCTCAGCTTTCCCTTGTTCAAGCTATAATGTTAATCTCTTTAGAACCATCCAACTGTCAGGGCAAAAGGTTAATGGCAAGGACATATGAGTGGTCACCAGCCAAACTGCTCTCAGTTCAGCACAGTCTTCTCTAATTTATTCCTTCATTAGAGGCTTCACCTGGAGAAACACTACATGTACTGCTAGGAACTGTTGCTCTAGAGGAGAATATCCCTTTCTCTTATCTCTGCCACAGTGCCTAACACCTAACTTCTAGAGTCACAGAACATCTAACTCAAATGCAAGCCTTCCTTGGAAGATGCCCAGAGTTTTATTGTTGTTGTTTTTTTTTTTGAGCTGGTTAAACAATCATAATTTATTATGTGATTTAGCAATTTTTTGTTCAAATTAAATACCTTTTAAGTTATTAAACTCATAAGGATTTACTTCTTTTGTGGTGTCTCAAACAGCTTTTTCAATTGCTTCTATTAATTTCACTCATATTCTTCTTGTTCTTGTTCTTCTCTTCCTTCTTCTTCTCCTTCTTTTAACAAACAAGGCCTCTATCCTCATCACAAAACATAAATGTATGATTTAGCATATAAAACCAGTAATTACACACTAATTTATGAAAGATTAAAAAATATTTTGATATAAATAATGATCACCATAACAAGTATCACTCATATGTTCTTGATAGAAAGTATTGATTGTGATGGTATGAGTAGTAATTTTCACATAACTGTATCCCATTGGGATAAATCAACATTCTGAGTTTTGTAAAGAAATCCTTATTTTCCTGAGGTATTCTGATTTGACAAAGAGTACTGGAGAAATAAAAGTCAATGGAAACTTTGCCAGGTATGAAATTATTATAATGTGCCATTTTTCACACACAAAAATACACAAGAAAATAGAAGTTCATGTACTTTGAGTTATATGTCAAAACTGGTACACATATCAAAAAAGGTTTGGGGTTTTTTTTGTTTGTTTTATTATTTATTTATTTATTTATTTATTTATTTATTTATCTTTAGAGGGGAAGGGAAGGAGAGAGGAAGAGAAATATCAATGTATGGTTGTCTCTTGTGCGTCCCCTGCTGGGAACTGGCCTGCAACCCAAGCATGTGCCCTGACAGGGAATTGAACAGTGATCCTTTGGTTTGCAGGCCCGCGCTCAATCCACTGAGCTACACTAGGCAAGGCTCAAAAAAGTTTTAACTGACCCAAAGGAAAAAAAGACTTATAGATGGCTGAATGGTCTTGACATTGGTGGAGAAGTACAGGAAGAGTGGTGATCAGATGTTTTACTATTTCTATTAGGACAATTCAAAATATGATTAAACTCGATAGAAAAATTAAGTTTGGCAACATGTATGAAATTCCAGACTAGCTGGAACCCATTTATCACTAGAAAAGTTTACTAAAGGAGACTGTGGAAGAATGTATTTTCTTTGAAGAGATTCCTTTAAAGAAAAGAAGAAAACCAATGTCTGTGTCAGTCGTTCTTAGACTTCATTGCATCTGAATCACCTGGAAAGGTTTGCTAAACACAGACAGTCCACCCCACCCCCAGAATTTCTGATGCAGTGGGTCTAGGATGAAACCCAAAAGTGTATTTCTGACAAGTTCCAAGGTGATGCCAATGATGCCAGTCTGGTTGCCATACTCTGAGAATAACCACTGGTCAGTGCTAAGCCTGTACTAGGCATGGTCACATAAAATACCTCACTGACTCTTCGCAACAGCTCAGGAGTAGATGTAACTCTTATTCAAGTTTGATATACATATATTCCATGACTCACATACATTTAATTTTCATATATTATGTGTGGGCAGCTATAAACTGTTTACTATACACCAAAACCATACTTTTTGAGAGACCTCCTGGGGCTGCCCGCCAGCTACAATTCAGTTTGGGCGGCAATACTGTGTGATACAGACAGTGTGATTTTGTTTCTCTCCTGGGCTGCCCAGAGCTTTATTTAATATGCTTCACTAGCATTTTTGCCTTCTCAATGGTTGCTTGCTGCTCTGATCCCGAGTCCCACACAAGCCCTTTCTTTGCCAGGTGGCCTAAAGAATGGAGTACGCACAGTGTCAGATGGAGAATAAAGATTTTCTAAACCCCCCAAAATCCCTACAAAAATTGCATCTTCTTTACATTCTTAGGGGTTGGATAGACATGAATCTAAACACAGCTATTGTAACAACAAAAATCTTACCTCACAAAATGACTCCTGAAACCTTATCTAAAAAGTCAGGCCATACTCCCAACCCCCAAACTGCTAATGACCCAGTCAGGCCAGTTTCCAACCCTCTGGAATGCCTATGACTCAGCTGTCCCAACTCACTTGGTAGCCTGCAGCACAATTGAAACTCTCCCCTACTGTGCACAGTAGACACCTGGCGCCACACTGACCCTCTAGTATCAGGGAACAGCCCACCCTTTACCTAACCCATTGTCCCAGCTCACATCCGGAAACCCTGAGTCACCTGCCTAGAAGAACAAGAGACTAACCCTTCTCCTATCCCCTCACAAATCCCTAGCTTTTTCTCTTAAAAACCCCACTCTTGCCTTCCCCCTGGTGCTGAAGTCAACCTGACTCAGCCCATCTCTCAGCGTAGCATCAAAGGCACCTGGATCAGATAGCCTGGTTCCTCCTGCCTCTATTTCTCTCACATTTCTAACACTTATAACAGTGCCTGTGTAACCAAGCAGAAAGGGGCCCATTCATGTAGTACCTTGATGTATGATCCAACAATTACTATTAGAAGAAACAGGTTTTCCTTTACAATATTCCAACCTTGGGGGACAGTGAGAGTACTTAAGCTCAGAGCCCTGTTCTTCCCCGAGACCTACCACTTCCCTTTCCCCAAAAGGCTAAAAGCCAAAGCCAAGCCCAATAGTTCCCCACATCCTTTTGTGCTTAAGCAGCTGTGCAAACAGCCTCGCAGTAGCTCTCTCCTTCAGGATCTGGGGTACGCTGTCATCAGCCTCCATGTAATAGTCCAGGAAAGCATGTACTGAGGTACACTGAATCATGGTGAAGTCCAGGAAAGGTGTAGTCCCAAGAGAGTAACCTTTCCTTATGTCCCAAGTCCCAAGAGTCCAGATAGAGTCTGGCTCTGGAAGTTAACAGGTCAGCATCTTGTAAGGCAGGATCCTTGGTGGCTTTGGAGTCAGCTAGAGAGGGCACAATCAGAGTAGCAGTTTGTTTCCTTCCTTACTCCACCAGGACTCAAGGCAGGATCGTGATTACAAATTATACAGCTGCTTGCTTAGTCCTCCCTTCATATGGCTACTACATCATTGTTCTCCTTCCTCATGGCTCTCCTCTTACCATGCCCTTTCCAAACCACATGGCAGCTGCTTCATGGCTCTTAGATTTAAATTTTGACCTGGGACTTCCTATTTGACCTCCCATGTGGCTCCTCCCACAATGAACTACATTTGCCAGTTTCCCTGTATTGCTCTACCATCTGTTGACTACCACCCTTAGTCAGGGCAAGAGTGACTCAGTGACACAAGTGGAACCACCTCCCTGACTCTTGTGCAGGCACCATACAACCCCCTGGCTGTGTCACAGGTGACTACACATTCTGAAAGTCAAATACATACCTTTTGCACCTTTTGTACACAGCTGTAGCACAGGTTCCCTTCAGGGAAGACGGGGCTATCCACTTGCCTTTATTAAGCCTTATCCTCTTCTCCACTTCCCCCAGCCATGAGCTATGAGGGAATATGGTCTGTATCCCGTTTCACCTGGGCCCAAATTTTCTGTGGGTTCACCATCCATCTTCTCTCTCACAGATGTTGCAACAAAGCCTATAGAATATCCTAATGCAGAAGCAAATTTTCACATGTGAACATTATACCGTCAATGTAATGGGCCCATTTTACCAATGTGGGGAAGGAGAACAGGGACAGGTCTGAGGCTGCCATCCCCAGATATATTGTCTAGGTAGCCTTGGGGAAGTACTGGAAAGGTTCATTATTGTCCCACTCACAGGAAGGCAAATTGACCTTAGTTATCAGAAACTTACAGATGTCAAAGACTTCTCCATGAATCTCCTTGAAAATGAAGTACTTTGCAGGAACACTTTTCGCCAAAGAATCAGAATTTAAAAAAAATAAGTCTGCAAATGACAAAAGATTTTTTAAATGGTCGTGGTTAAGGAAATTTAAAGTTTAGTATCATTTCTTCTTTAACAGTGCTCCCCATGACATTTATATATAAAGAAAGTTACACAGCTGTAAAAAAAAACTGTCTTTAAAGATGACTCCATTTCCTTCAATGATCAAAGACCTGACGAAAGCAAAATACAGAATCACTGTTTTCCAAACAGATTACACTAATAGTAAAAAATAAATAAATAAAAGCTTTTGTTTACAACTCCTTAAGAGCAGACCAAAAATCTTCAAAAAAAAAAAAAAAACCACCTTTCCCCTTTTAACAGAGAGAGAGAGATAATTCTAATTTTTTACCAGTATACTTTTGATACTAAAATAAATTGGTAGGTACAAAATAGACAGGGAGATGTTAAGAACAGTATAGGAAAGCCCTGGCTGGTGTGGCTCAGTGGATCGAGCACCAGTCTGCAAACCAAAGTGTCACTGGTTCTGTTCCCCAGTCTAGGGCATATGCCTGGGTCACCAGCCAGGTCCTTAGTAGGGGGTACGAAAGAGGGTGAAAGAGGCAATCACACCTTGATATTTCTCTCCCTCTCTTTCTCCCTTCCTTCCCCTCTCTAAAAATAAATTTAAAAAACCTTAAAAAAAAGAACCGTATAGGAAATGGAGTAGGCAAAGAACTTATATTCATGACCCATGGACAAGAACTCAATGAGGGGACTGCTGGAGGGAGTGCTGGGTGAAGAGTGACAAAGGGGGAAAAACTGGGACAAAGTATAATAGCATAATCAATACAATACAGGGTTCAGCAGAAGTAATGCCTGCTTGAATGTGGCGGTAGGCTAATAATATGGGTATAATAATTTATAGTTTTAATTTAAACATTTCATCTAAAATGTCATATGTGTGCTTGAGTATGATAGTGTTATGTTACAGAATTACATGCTTATGATTTTGTAATAATAGATTTTGTAGTAAAAAGGGGTGTTATTTGTGCCTGATCCTGTATATTTAAAACAAAAAACTGCCCAGGCTGGTGTAGCTCAGTGGATTGAGCACAGGCCTGTGAACCAAAGGATCCCGGTTCGATTCCCAGTCAGGGCACATGCCTGGGTTGCAGGCCAGTTCCCTGTGGTGGACACGGGAGAGGCAACCATACATTAATGTTCTCTTCTTCCCTTCCCTTCTAAAGATAAATAAATAAAATCTTAAAAAAAAACAGAAACAAAAAACCATACTATTTTTTGCGCAGACCAGCGTGCCTCAGTTGGTTGGGTGTCATCCCACAAACCAAAATGCATTCAGTTTGATTCCTGGTCAGGGCACGTGCCTCGGTTGTGGGTTCAGTTCCTGGTTGGGGTTAGTATGAAACTCAACAAATCAAAGTTTCTTCCCCTCTTCCTCTGTCTATAAAATAAATAAGTAAATAAAATGTTTTTTAATTAAAAAAATTATACTATTTTTTTCTTTTTAACTTAAATCCATTCCAATCACAGCTCAACCGAACATAAAATTCCTTTCTCAGTATTTTTTTCCTTACAAACCTTCTGCAACTTTCCATGTTCCTCTTTTTCTTTATCCTGGAACGATCATTTTACTTTAATGACAAAACTACTTCCTATCTGTCCTTTACAAAAACCAAAACAACAACAAACATGTTCTTCATACCTTTCCTTTCCAGAAAACATATTCTATTTTTCTCACCTATGTTTCATATATAGTCATTCTCTTTAACTCTCATTTCCAGTAGTTTTGTAAAAAACCTTATCTTTTTTTAGAAATCAATTTTGGCAATACCTGCTAGAGGTAGAAAAACATCATATATACACATATGTCCAGACATACATAAACATACAGAGAGAGACACAAACAGAAACCACATAGCTTTTATTCCAAAATTTTAGTCATGAATCAAGTACCTGCTCAAATGAGTAAAAGCTTTTTATTGATACCTGTTATCTTATTGAGGCTGTGGACTAGATATTGAGGTAAGGAACTTGTACAACAATGTATATTTTTTAAAAGTTCCCCCTTTTTTCCTTGTCTCAGTGGGCAACTTTGGTTATCTCATGAGACATTTACATCTCAAAGACATGATAAAATTTAAAACTTCCCGTATACAGAAAGAATGTAAGAGTTCTCCTAGGTGGTTTGGCGTAATTGATATTTAAAATTCTCTTTTGTATTAGGGGCTACGGGGTATAGGGAGTTTTGTCTATTTCCTTATCAATCACCACAGCCACTTCTACATTCCCATTACTTTCCCAGAGATTCTACCTCTTAAGAATTTTAAGCAGGTTTTGTCACCAGTACCGGAAACCTTAATCTGCAACATCCTGTGCACTCCTAGCTTTAGAAAATGGCACAATAAGATTTCCAATTTATCATCCTGTTCTCCAGCCCCAAAGCTAGCAGAATACTAGAAAACCGTATGTCCTTCCCTAATCTCACATCATCTTCCAACTTGGCATTGGTGTCCATCTGAACTGCCCACGGTAAACAGCAGCCACTTGTTTCACCCCTGCCAGTGTTCACAGTTTCTCAGTAGAACTAATTAAATCAGCCAGTGATCTTAGGGCACCCCCATATTCATGTCAACATGAAAAACGTCCAAAGCTGTAAGAATTTTTGCAAGTTTATTTGAGCCAAACTAACAACAACTGCTGGGAAGCAAAACCTCAACAAATTGAGGAAATGCTCCAGAAAACAGTATTTTATACATTACAATCAAAAGACATGATTTAAGTGGGTTATGTGAAATCTACTGGTGACAGACTAGGAAGGCAGGAGGAAGCAAAATTGGGAAACCTTTGGTATGGGACAGAAAGTAAAATGATAGATGCATACTTCTTTCAAATAGGTGGGTGCAGGATAGTTAAGTGAACAATTAACAAGATAAGAATAACAATGAGGAGATTTGTGGTCTCCGCTCTGGTGGGGTGGTTGTGCCCCAGGGGTTTGGAAAGTAAAAAAGGGAAGTTATCTTTATGCAAAACAAAAGACAATAGATAGGCTCAATTAGGGTCAAGATTGACTTTTGTCCGGGAAGATTCTAGCCTTGGACAGGACTGCCGGCCCTGACAGGTCTTAGTTAGAAAGCTCTAATGTCATACCATCCTGTGGTTACTTTACATCTCAATTTGTAAGGCCATCATGCAGCCTTTCCTTGAGGGTGTCATGTTATTTTAGTATATGGCCTATTTTTATTCACATTCACATAGTGGTTCACATGTATCTAGCTTATGAGCCATTCCTTCCCCACACAGAGTTCGATAGCCAACACAAGATTTTCCTCCTCAGATACTTCTTCCCCAAAGCTCATCTTGGGTCTCCTGAGTAGCTGACCAATTGTTGGTTCTCAAACTGGGCAGGAGCTTCCCAGGTGTAATGTTGAACTGGCCCTCACAAGGGTTAAAATATTCTTTTAATTTCTCTTTATTTATTCTTTTTTTACAAGAATTATTTTCATTTTCCAAGACACGTTCGTATCTTATGTTATGGATTTCTATTCAATGCTTTTCTATGTAGAAAACGTACTTTTTATTATCTTATTTCTAATGTTTTGAAACATTTGTGGCCCAATAAATAGTCTGCTTTTGGTAAACATTCCATATAGATTTGACTACAACTTGTATTCTGCAATTGTTGGGTACACTGTACTATAACTATCAATTAGATCAAAGTGATTGACAGTGCTGCTTAGATTCTGTTTACTGACTTTGGGGGGCTCTTTTTATTCTACAAATTGCTGAGAGAATATTAAGTTGTGATCTACTCACGGATTTGCCACTTTCTAAAAATCAACTAACCAGGTAAAGAACAAATGAATTATTTCCAGCCTTGGCAATAGTAAATAATTCTATGGTAAATAAAAGAAGGTTTCGGGGTAAGTGAACTATGGCCCAAAGATTCAATCTGTTTTGTAAGGCCAAGGGGCTAGCAATAGCTTTTACAATTTAAATGATTGTAAAAATTTAAAGGATATTTCATGACGCATGAAAGTGGAATGAAATTCAAATTTTAGTATTTGTAAAAAAAAAAAAAAGTTTTGTTAGAATATATGTATACTGCAGGCCTGTGAAACAAAAGGGTCGCTGGTTTGATTCCCAGTCTAGTGCACATGCCTGAGTTGCAGGCCAGGTCCCCAGTAGTGGGCATGTGAGAGGCTAGCACACACTGATGTTTCTCTCCCTCTCTTTCTCCTTCCCTTCTCTTCTCTCTAAAAATAAATAAATAAAATCTTTTTTAAAAAGGGAGAATACATGCATACTCATCCAGCTACATATTTTCTGTGGCTTCTTTCATGCTACAATGGCAAAGTTAAGTAGTTGTGACAGAGACCATTGTCAACAAAGACTTAAATATTTACTTTTTGGCACTTTACAGAAAAAGTTTACTAGACACTTGACTGAGATAAATACTTAGAGTGAGTGATAAATAATGAGAGTGATGGATCATATAGTAATTGTGTATTTTACTTTAAAATAAACTCCAAACAAGCCCTGGCTGGTGTGGCTCAGTGGATTGAGCACCAGCCTACAAACCAAGGCGTCACTGGTCCAATTCCCAGTCAGGGCACATGCCTGGGTTGTGGGCCAAGTCTCAGTAGGGGGTGCATAAGAGGCAACCATACATTGATGTTTCTCTCCCTCTATGTATCTTTCCCTTCCCCTCTCTCTATAAATGAATAAATAAAATCTTTTTAAAAATAAAAATCTTTTATATACCACCCTTCCTCCTCTGTGGAGCTCCCTTACAGGTATGTCTCCTTCTCTCATTGCTTCAGGTTGCGGAATAGCCACCTCAGAAGTGACAACAGCCTTCCTCCTCACCCATTTCTGCCCAAGTATTTGGAAAGATATGCTACTTCTTGTAGTCCCTAAGAAGGGGCAGGATCAGATTCCCATTTGAGGCCAAGGACTGCCTCCTGTCCCCTTCAAGAGGGTCTTATTTTTCAGAGCAAATAGCAGTGCAAAAACCTCTTGAAGGGCTCTTTTGCCCACTCTCCCCAAAATGTATTAAGAATCTTTAATCAATATCCCCTACCGGCCTAAGGCTCAGGAAGAGCATAGGGGTAGGGGTAGTAGTAGAAGGGGAGAGAAAGAAGCTGAAAGAGCAGAAAGGAAAGGAAAAAGCAGAAAAGAAAAAACATTCTGGGTTTGGCCACCCTTCCCCCATCCTACCAGTCCTACCGGGAACTATACACAGATATCAGTACAACTTCCTACAAGCCCAGGCCTTATCAGGCAACCTCCTCTCCTA